GCCGCGACAGGGCGCCGGCCAATCACCGCCGAGGCGGGGGCGGGGCCTGCACGCTCCCAATGCGTGCGGACCATCGGCCGGGCGGGGGGCGGAGCCCGGGCGCAGTGCCCGAAGGGGGCGGGGCCTAAGATCAGGGCGGCGGAGGGCGGGGACGGAGGGGAGGGCCTGGCGGGGGCCCGGGACTACAAGGGGTGAAGTGCGCCACTGGCTAAGCAGAGAGGTGGGGCTCGGGGGCGGAGCCTGGGTCGCAGGGCCTCCAGAGGGCCCGGGATCCGAGGGCGCGGGGCAGGGCGGTGGGGGAGGGGCACGGGACCAAGAGGACGGACACAGACACCGGCGCGGCGTGGCTGCGGCGTGCGGTCCAAGGTGCCGAGGCCGGCCCAGGGGCAGAGCGTGAAGGGAGCGGGAGGGACACGGAGGCGGGGGACGGGGGTGAAGCAGGACCCTGGGACACGAAGGGTTTTCACACCCTGCACACCTGCAAGCCCATCTCCGGTCAGCGGCCCAAGGGTACGCCCTAAAGTAGTCTTTTTAAAGCCGAACCGCTGCGGAGAAAGGATGAGGAAGACTGGAGGAACCAGGACTATCTTTGAGGATGTTCCGGGGGTGGGGAAGGAGGATCAACGTTGTAGGGAACAGGCAGGTGTGGCTTCAGCGCACACAACTGAGAGTGTTACACACAGGTGAGGAAATAGCCTAAAGGAGTGTCATACCAGGAAAACTGACAGTGAAGCTCCGGTTCCAGAGTGAGTGTGGAGGAAGGCTGGCCTCTGGAGGAAGGGCCCTGCCTATACAAGGCAGGGAGGGGCAAGGAAGGCTGGGCACAGCTGCTGCCACAGCAGGCCAGGTCTGCATGGAGGAAAGCCTGCCTAGAGGACAATGCTTCAAGTGCTGGCCCCACACTTGTCATCAGAAACAAGGTGACTGTGTTGAAGGACATAGCAGATGGGGTGTCCTTAGCAGGAGAGGAGCAAGCCGTCCAAAGGAAGGAGCCGCAGCCACACAGACAAGCCTGGCACGGTGTCAGCGCTGCGGAAGAGGGTGAAGATGGGAGCAGAGCAAAGGGGGAAGGGCCAAGGCTGGTGGGGACCCATCCCAGCCTGGCCCACCTCCAGCCCCACTGACTCACTCCCCATGAGCAGTCCTCCCAAGCCCCTTCAAGGCATGGTACCCGAGTGTCCCAGGATTCCAGTCTGTATCCCTCGGGGTCATCTGAGAGAGAGGCATCCACTCCCTCTGGGTGGATATGACCAAGCTCAAACCCAAAGCTAGGCCAGACCTGCCTGCTTCTGCCCCTTCAGGGCATGGCCTGGAGCAGGTGCTAGACAAAGGGACTGTCACAACAGAGGGGCCCCACTGCTGGCAGAAACAGTGGTCCCTGTCCAATGCTGCCCTAGCCACTTGCACCATCCTCAGGGAGCATTCCCAGGAGCAGCTGCTGGCACTCAGAGCAGGATCAAAGCCTAGCCTTCTGCCCCCCAGCCCCAGATCTGCCCTGGGAGCCCAGCCAGGGCTACAGGCTGGGCAGATCCCAGGAAGAGAATGCACGGCCAAGAGCAGAAATCCCTGCCAGTTGTCCCCCAGCAGAGCCACTGTTGGAGAAGCATGGTGGCAAAGGTTAGGATGAGGAAAGAGAAATACAGGAAGGTGAAAAGTCCGGCCAGACCATGCAGGGAGAGTGCAGAGCCCTGGCTTCCTAAACTGCAGTGACCACTGGGCCAGGAGTCTTTGCCCCTCCCGATCCACCTCCACCCTTCTCAGCCCTGCCTGTGGCCGGCAGGCTGTCTATGTGGACACCTGTCAAGGGCTTCCAGGGCTGATGGGAGGGAAAAGCGGTCAGGGGCATTTTTCCCCAGCTCCCTCCCTGTGGGGTCACTGCCTCTCTCTTCCCAGATTCCAGTGACCATCCCTCCCTTCTTCCTGGGCTCTATTACTACCCTTGGGGTTCCCTATATTCTGTCCCCACTTTTGTAAATCAGCCCTTTATTAACCCCCTCAGACTGCCCTAACTTGAGTGTGTCTTCTGTTTTCCGCTGGGCCCCACACGGATATGACCATCCACCCTGCATTTCCTGGCATGCCCTGGGTTGCAATAATCAGCCCCACCACTCCACAAGCAGTACTGGCTCCAGGTGTGGAGGCATGGGCAGACTGATATGTTTCCCACAGCCCCCTGCTACCTCAGGTCCCAGCCAAGCGTAAGGCCACTCTCCACTGGCCTTCGGTCTGCTTACTAGCCGGCCTTCCAGAGTTCTGAGTCCAAGTAGCTCAGGCCAGAGCCTCATTCCCCCAGGGCACTCCTCCTTTATGACTTCACCCACTGAAGTCACCTGGGAGACAATGCTGAACATTCCACCCCAGAGTCTTGGCCTCTAGGAGGCAAGGACAGCAGGCCCGGCCAGCCCAGAGGACTCTCTGTCCACAGTGTAAATGAGGACGCTGCTGGCCCATGTCCCGCAGGGATGTAGAGGGCAGGCTCAGAGGCACTGGGCACTCCCGGCACCATGGATGATGCTGCCGTCCTCAAGCGACGAGGCTACATCATGGGAATAAATTTGGGAGAGGGCTCATACGCAAAAGTCAAATCCGCTTACTCTGAGCGCCTGAAGTTCAACGTGGCGGTCAAGATCATCGACCGCAAGAAAGCCCCCACAGACTTCTTGGAGAAATTCCTTCCCCGGGAAATTGAGGTTCTGGCCATGCTAAACCACCGCTCCATTGTCAAGACCTACGAAATCTTCGAGACATCAGACGGCAAGGTCTACATTGTCATGGAGCTCGGGGTCCAGGGCGACCTCCTCGAGTTCATTAAAACCCGGGGAGCCCTGCATGAAGACGATGCTCGCAAGAAGTTCCACCAGCTCTCCTCGGCCATCAAGTACTGCCACGACCTGGATGTCGTCCACCGAGACCTCAAGTGCGAGAACCTTCTCCTTGACAAGGACTTCAACATCAAGCTGTCCGACTTTGGCTTCTCCAAGCGCTGCCTGCGGGATGACAGTGGCCGACTGACACTGAGCAAGACCTTCTGCGGGTCGGCGGCATACGCAGCCCCTGAGGTGCTGCAGGGCATCCCCTACCAGCCCAAGGTATATGACATCTGGAGCCTGGGCGTGATCCTCTACATCATGGTGTGCGGCTCCATGCCCTACGACGACTCCAACATCAAGAAGATGCTGCGCATCCAGAAGGAACACCGCGTCAACTTCCCGCGCTCCAAGCACCTGACGAGCGAGTGCAAGGACCTCATCTACCGTATGCTACAGCCAGACGTCAACCGGCGGCTGCACATCGATGAGATCCTCAGCCACTGCTGGGTGCAGCCCAAGGCCCGGGGCCTGTCTTCTGCAGCCATCAACAAGGAGGGGGAGAGTTCCCGTGGCACTGAGCCCTTGTGGACCCCTGAGCCTGGCTCTGACAAGAAGTCCGCCACCCAGCTGGACCCCCAGGAAGAGGCACTGTCCGAGACAAAACCCGAGGAGGAGACATTGCAAGTGCAGGAGTCGAGGCAGTCAGAGACCAAGGGCCTCACCAGCGAGCAGCCGAGCAGGGAGACAGAGGAAGGGGCCCCTCCACAGCCTTCACAGACGCACACCTAGTGAGCCTCTTGTGGCCCAGGGGGCCGAAAGGGAATGAAGCAGAGCTCACGGCTTGAAGCATGAGCTCCGAAGAAGCTGAGGGACAAGCCAGAGAAGGAAGACAGTACCGGATGAGCTGCTATTTTCGTCAGTTTCTTTTCCCTCCCTTTGAACTTGGTAACCCACATGGCTAAAGAAGCAATAAATCACTATATTAATGCCGACCCCATGGTGAATGTCTTTGCCCCAGCTGACTGCGGTCCTCCAAGGAGAGGATCCTGCACTCCCCCCGGCTCCCCACTCTTCGGATCGCACTATGCTTCACTTCCTGCTTGGGAAAATACATCCCAGTGTGCCCCGTCCTGCCAGTGACCTCAGGCCCTGGACCAGAACAGAGCGCTGAGTGAGGAAGATGCTGCTTCAAGAGGGAGGCCATGAGTGTGGTGCTGGGGTGGGGAGGGGGCACAGAGAAGACAGGACCAAGAAGGGCAAGGTGGCTACCTGCAGAGGAGGGGTGGGAGGCGGGGGCGCCTCCCGCTGGGAGAGCTGACTCTGTCTGCAGTTGGGGCCGAGGGTCGGAGCCCTCAACACCCCAGTGCAGCCAGCCCCACAAGGCTGCCGGGGGGCAGGGGCCTGCAGAGGGCAGGGGGACCAGCCTCTTGGCCCCTCTTGAGCTCTCCACCCTGGTGGGAAACTCGTTCTGTCCATCAGGGGTTTCCTGGTGTCCTGCCAGCACCTGGTTCTCAAAGGTGACCTGAGTCATCCTTCCCCCAGCCCAGGAGAAGCGGGGGACTCTGCTAATGGCCCAGCCACACTCCAGCCTGCGTGTCCCACAGTCAGTGTGGCCTTGACCACATCCCGTTTCCCTCTAATCCCAGTCTGTCCCCAGGGGTGACGCTCCCTGCCAGAGTGGATAAGCTGACAGCAGTGAGTAGGAGGACAGGCATCCTCGCAAGGCATGCCTGGCCCCTGTGGCCATTGGTGTCCCGCAGAGGGCGCAGGCCTGCATTTGGCATCACTGGCTGCCCGTGTCCTTTCTCAGGCAGTCCTCATCTCGCCCGGGGCAGCCCCTTTCTCTTCCTGCTCTGCATTCTCTCCAGACAACCTCGTGTGGACCTGTGGGTTTAACACACAAAGAGGACAAGAGCCTTCAGACTCACCTCTCCCCCGGCCCATGTGGTGTCTTGGGAAGATCCCAACCCCAGTCCCTGGGAGAAGTAAGGTCCAGTGAGTACCCCGCCCCTCATCCAGTCCACTGCTCTGCCTGGCTCCTCCCTCTCCCCACAGCCACCTTCACACATTCTATGTCCTCCTATCTCCATGTTCCGGTATGTCATGGTTCAGCCACCACCAAGGCCTCTGTCCCTGCCCTCCCATCACCTCCCACAGCAGCCAGAGGCCCCTTCCTGCACCCAGTCCAGCTTCTGCTGCTCCTGGGAAGGATCCCAGTGCCTGGTCTCCCATGTCTGGCCTCCCAGCCGCTTCCCTCACCCCCACACATATGTGCCATAATCGTGTTTGTGGACACATCCCTGCAGACCTTGTCCATCTCTCCAGGCTCAGCCAAGGGGCCATGGCCTCTGCAAATCCTTCTGGGGGCCCCTAATAGTGCTCAGCAGCCCGCCACTCTGTGCCCCACCAGGGTGGGCCTGTGGGTGCTCAGGGTCCGGGCACAGAACAGGCCCTGAGTAATACTGGAAGAGCCACCCAGTTTCTCCCGTAGGCCTCAGGAGCTCAGAGTCACACGGCCTGTGTGGTGGTGGAGTGGAATTCCAGAGCACACGGGGCCTGCTGTGAGGACATTCTAAGGAGAGGCTCACGAACCTCCTCCCCTCAGTCATCTCTGTGGCCTGCTGTGGTCATCAGGGCAGCGGGTCGTGCATGATGAGAGGCCCCAGGAGTGACTCACTGCAGCCCAGCCAGGAGGCGAGCCTGGGCAGGAGGGACCACAGGAAGGAGCACCTACTGTGTGCTTTACAGATGGGGAGATAGCTCAGAGAGAGTGGGTGACTGCCTTAAGTCACACAGTGGGAAGCTGCGGCCCAGATGACTGAAGCCTACTCCTCCCCTGGTGGCCTCACTTGCCGGGCCACTCCTGTGAGCTGCTCAATCCACTGGGCTTGGCCCTGGCTCAGACCCCTTTGGTGATCCCCTAAGGCTCTAGGATCAAGACCCTCAATGTGGCCTCCTCAGCCTGCCATGCTCCCTCCTGCCCTCACACACTCTTGCCAAGCTGTGTCCTTTCAGGACATCACATGCACTGGCAGTCCTCGTCCTCCTCCGAGTGGCTGACTCCTCAGACCTCAGCCTTCCCAACCTCCCCAAGTCCAGCCCCCGGTTCTGTCCTCATAGCTCTGTGTTCCTGTGTCACGGCACAGCTACCGCTGGGCATTCACACTGTTGATGTGACATTGAATCTCCCTGGCCTCTGGGCTCCAGGCAGGCCTGGGCCCTGTCTTGTTCATCAGTGTACCCCAGCACCTGGAACCGACCCTCAAATGCCTGTGGAGTGAATGGATAAATGGGTGCCCACTTTACGAGGAAACCGAAGCTCAGAGGGAAGCAGCCTTCCCAGAGTCTGCAGTCTCCGACCCACAGAACTGCAGGTTGCAGCACCCCTGGAGGCCCCTGGTCCAATCTAACACTCCCCACCCCTAAGACACCAGGACTCCCTGCCCCAGTGTGCACAGCCTGGATGAAGCCACCTGCTCCACACCCCGGCAGCTCCCCTCGCACAGTGCTGAGAGCTGCCTCACACCACGTCCCCCAAGAACCAAAGAGACCACACTGCCCTGGGCAAAGGTGGGGTGTGAGGAAGCAGAATCCACAAAAAAGGGAAAAGTGGGTGGGTGGAGTCATCCAAGAAGGCAGACATGCAGGGGATGCCCCAGATGAACATCTGGGGCACAGGAGAAAGGCGGGGGGGCAGGTGGTCATGCTCCTGGGTCCTGGCCTGCAAATCCTCATAGCCAGCCCCTTCTGGGACGCAAAGGAGTGAAGTTCTGGTCATTTCTACCCAAGATCCCCTAGAAGAAAGGAAGGCATCAAGCTAGCGCTACTAACAATGGAATCTCTACAGAGCTGGGAGCAAGCCTCAGGGGGGCGTGGTTGCTGGGGGGCCGTCACCGCTGTGGGCCGCCCTCCTCAGTCACTTCCACCTGGCATGTGGACTCTGGCTGCCCTGCCCTTGCATTCTTCCACAGGGACCTCCCCTCGCGTTCCAGGTGCGTCCACAGTGTCGTGCTCTGGCCAAGATGTCATCTGCCTGGCGCGTCCTGCCCCTCATCAACCTGGTGGAGCCCGTTTGATTCTTTGTGTGCTGGCTCCATCACCTCCCCAATCCCCCACTAGAAATAGGCCTTCCTCACTCTCCCCTGAACACCAAGCACACAGCAGGCCTGTCCTGGCAACTCGTGACACGTGCCTGTGATGGAGGACGAATGAACAGCAGAGTTTCCAAAGTACCTAAGGAGACATACAGGAGACCATGTTTTCCAAAACAAAAACCCACATATGTGCCCTGAAAAAGGGTTTTCACTTTGTTTCTGGGCACAAAACACTGAGAGACAAACAATGTACTATCCCACGGTTGCAACAGCTGCAACACACCCACTCCTCCCAAAGGTCCAAAGTGACATAATTAAGGACCTCTCCTCACCCAGGTGCCTGCTCTTAACAGTCGATGCTCTGGGTGCTGCTGGCCCCCTCCGCCCCCAGCCCCTGGCTCCGCCTGAGGCCCCACCCACTTGCTGACCAGCACTTCAGACCCTTCTCTCTCTCCCTGCCACCTGATCCCTGCAGGCCCACCCTGGTCCAGTCTCCTCTTGCCTGGTCAAAGGCACTGGCCTCCACTCACCCCAAAGCCCATTCTCTCTGGGCTCTGCCAGGGACCATCTTCAAACAGGACTTGGGGCATGGCTCCTCCTGCCCTGGGCCCTGCCATGGCTGCCCATCACTCAGGGAAAAGCCCCCACTTAGCTTCTCTTCCACCTCCCTCCTGACTGCGGGACTCAGCCATTCCCAGGACAAGCCCTCTCCTCTCCCAAGCTCTTCCCCGCCTGGGTGCCTCACCACCTCCTCTACCTGACTAAAGCCTGGCCCATCCTCCCAGGCCAGCCCCAGTCCCCAAAACCGTCCACACACATCTGCCGGTCCACCGCCCTGGGCCACACGGCTGGGCACTCACAGCACCTGAGCCCTGCCTGTCGTCTCGCCCCACACACGCCCTGCTCCACAGCAGCAGCAGCAGCAGCAGCACTCATCCACCCAGCTCTCTACCCCAAACAGGAGCTGCTCTCGTCCACCAGGCTTGGAACCAGTGCCAGCCTGGCCACACCAGAGCAGTCCCTCCCAGGCATCGCCAGTTCTGAGGACACAAGCCCTCGACGGAGTTTTCGTAAGACCCCAAAGAAGCTGTAGGAAATTGGCCCTAGTGGGACAAGGGCCAATGCAGGGTCAGTCCCCATGGCCAGGAGAGGGAAATGGGCATGGGGTTGGCACTCTGGCTGGACCTGGGCAGCATCTCCCTAGGCCTGACACCGGACAGGGGAGCCACAGCGAGGAGGAGGAGCAGAAAGGGTTACCACAGTCCTGGGTGCCGGCTTCCTTCCAGTGGGCGGGGAGTGGGTGCTCCTGCCAGGCCAGCTTGGCTTCCCAGGTTCCAGGGGCCCCGCTCCCCCTGGCCCAGTCCCCACTCCCGGCAGCCTGGCTTTATGACTTCACATGCTGAAGTCACGTGAAGACAATGCTGAGCGTTCCACCCCTCCAGGTCCAGGCCCAGCCCAGCCAGACAGCCCTCCCCAGAGTAAATGACAATGCCTGCTGGCCCACGTTGAGAAGGGATGTAGAAGGCAGTGGCGCCAGCCGCTCCTGGCACCATGGATGATGCCGCAGTCCTAAGAAAGAAGGGTTACATCGTGGGCATCAACCTTGGCAAGGGCTCCTACGCAAAAGTCAAATCTGCCTACTCTGAGCGCCTCAAGTTCAACGTGGCAGTCAAGATCCTCGACCGCAAGAAAACACCCACTGACTTCGTGGAGAGATTCCTTCCTCGGGAGATGGACATCCTGGCAACCGTCAACCACCGCTCCATCATCAAGACCTACGAGATCTTCGAGACATCAGATGGGCGCATCTACATTGTCATGGAGCTCGGCGTCCAGGGCGACCTCCTAGAGTTCATCAAGTGCCGGGGAGCCCTGCACGAGGATGTGGCGCGCAAGATGTTCCGCCAGCTCTCCTTGGCCGTCAAGTACTGCCACGACCTAGACATCGTCCACCGAGACCTCAAGTGCGAGAACCTTCTTCTTGACAAGGACTTCAACATCAAGCTGTCTGACTTCGGCTTCTCCAAGCGCTGCCTGCGGGACGGTAGCGGCCGCGTCACCCTCAGCAAGACCTTCTGCGGGTCGGCGGCGTACGCAGCCCCCGAGGTGCTGCAGGGCATCCCCTACCAGCCCAAGGTATATGACATCTGGAGCCTGGGCGTGATCCTCTACATCATGGTGTGCGGCTCCATGCCCTACGACGACTCCGACATCAAGAAGATGCTGCGCATCCAGAAGGAACACCGCGTGGACTTCCCGCGCTCCAAGCACCTGACGAGCGAGTGCAAGGACCTCATCTACCGTATGCTACAGCCAGACGTCAACCGGCGGCTGCACATCGATGAGATCCTCAGCCACTCATGGCTGCAGCCCCCCAAGTCCAAAGCCATGTCTTCTGCCTCCTTCAAGAGGGAGGGGGAGGGCAAGTACCGAGCCGACTGCAAACTAGACACCCGGCCAGGCTCGAGGCCTGAGCACCGGCCCGAGCACCGGCCTGACCACAAGCTGGGGGCCAAAACCCAGCACCCGCTGCTGGTGCTGCCGGAGAATGAGGACAGGATGGAGGACAGGCTGGCCGAGACCTCCAGGGCGAAAGACCATCATGTCTCCAGAGCCGAGGTGGGGAAAGCAAGCACCTAGCGGTGCTGAGGGCCCGGGGGCGTGGTGCATGGTGAGTGCCCACATAAATGAGGTAGGCAGCTAGGAGCTGAAGAAGCCACAGGTGCAAGAACAAGTAAAATCCGTCAATTAAACCACTATTTTGATTACGTTCTATTAGCTTTCCTCCACTTAGTAGCAGAGACATTAATTGCTGACCACCAAATAAACCACAAAGTGTATATACGCATCAAGAGTGCCCCGTGAGGAGTCTTTTTCTCTGGGACTCAGCCAACCACCCTCCCTGCGGCGTGGGGGTCTCCAGCGTAGGAGTCCAGGGACCAGTACTCAGGCTCAGGGAGACAGGGTGAGACCTTGTGGGCAAGGAGACGACTGTGGCTGCCGCCCACCGCTGGGCCCCCCACAGGCCTCCCTCGGGCGTGCCCCGTGCCCAGCACCCCCAGGGTTGGCCAGGTGCACGTCTTCCCACCCCTATTCGCTCAGACAGCCCCTTTATCTCAGTGTCCTCCTCTCCCTCCATTCTTGGGGTTGAGCTCGGTGACCTCAGCCCCTCAAGTGTCCCCTCCAGCCCCCAGGGCAGCCCCAGCTGAGACCTTTCAGCTCCCCCTCCCCACCCCTTCCCATTCGCCCACACAGCAGCCCTCAGTTTTGTTGCCTTTCACTCCCCAGGGCCCACTCTCCATACCAGCCAAGTGCTCGAGGTTGTCAGCACCTGGGCCTACGTGGCCCTGCCTGCATCTCACTCACGTCCACTCAGTCCTCTGCCTCCCCACTTCCTGGGGGCTCCCTCGGGCTCAAGCCCACCCTTCCCAATGGGGGAAAAGCACCAAAAGCTGCACCTTCCTGATCCCCGGGCAGGCCCAGCCCTGGGCCCATGCTCACCTGCGGAGCCCACCTCCAGCCGCCTTGGTGGGTCCCAGGGCACAGCCAGGGCTCAGCCCCACTGTTGAGGAGCACAGGTTAGTGGAAGCCCAGGAAGGCGGCAGGCCCCACACCAGCCTCCAGAGAACATCGGTACTCACGGAGGGAGCGAGAAGACCAACACAGGAAGACCCAAGAAGGTCGCCTAGCGCAGGGCTGGGCGTGCTCAGAGCAGGAAGGACTCTGGTCTAAGCAGATTCCAGCTGTGTCTCCCTGAGCACCCTGGGCACAACCTGACCCCACCTGAGGCCTGAAGAGACACGTATGGGAGCCAGCCCATGGTCTTGGGCCCATAAGCCCACGGTGCAGGGACCTCACCTCCATGTCAAGCAACTGGCTCTCAGCCTCTTGAGGGTCAGGCACCAATACCCTCAGGCCCATGGGCAAGTGCTGAGCCATGGTGCAGAGGCCACTCTCAGCCCAGTTACTGTCATCTGGGGCTCCTGCTGGTGGGAGTGACAGCGAGGTGAGGCTGGCGACTCAGCAGCATATGGCGGGCAGGGCCTGGAGCGCTGGAGGAGAGAAGGGCAGGTAGAGATAGCCCTGCCCCACCTGAGCTGGAAGCAGCTGGAGAAGGTGATGGTAAGGCCACCAAGAAGGTGCCTCATGTGGGGGTGTGACCTCACATGGAGGACCCATACAGCCCTGTCACCAGCATACCACGCAGGCCAAGCCTGGCTGGGGAGGCTGCAGACCTGGGCCCAGAGCCCCAGCTGAGCCCAGGGGGAACAACTACCAAGGTTCCGTCCTTCCGTCAGAGGAGCAGAAAGAGCTTGGGCAGGCAGGGGGCACCAGGCCGTGGACTCAGCTCAGAAGGCAGGTTCCGAGCTCCAGGGGTGCCACAGAAAGCAATGCAGAAGGTGACGGGAAAGGCCAGACACACTGGCCCTCCAAAGGTCACTCCACTCAGCAGCTTCCTCCCCGGGTGGCCTGCAGCCCTGAGACCACGCTGCAGGTCAGCGCAGGCAGCAGGACAGAAAGGTGGCCCTACCAGGCTGCGCTAGGCGTTCTTTAATGACAGTCAAATAGACACAGGCAGGGGCTCCACAGAAAACCTGGGCAAGGCCCTGGGATGCACCCCAAGGTGGGGGCAAGTCCTGTGCCAGCCTGGCCGTGGCACGGCACCCTTCTTCTGTGGCTCCTGGGATAGTCGCTGTTTTGGCCCGGGCCTGGGTCCCCAGAAGGCCGGAGTCCACCGCGGGGTGGACAGCTACCCTGCAGGCTCCACAAAGCTTCCATGGGCCCAGGCCGGGCTTGAACCTAGAAGAAGTCTGAGGCTTTGCGCCGGGCAGGGAGCTGCAGCAGGTTGTCCGTGATGGAGGCCGGGTCCTGGCTGAGGGGGGTGCGTGTGGCAGAGCCAGGAGCTGGTGTGCTCGTGGGGGTTTGGGGCCCGCCGGTGGGGGTCTTGAGGTGGGTTGAGCGTGCTGGGGATGGTGTGTAACTGGCCCGCAGGGCCCGGTCTGTGTACTTGCTGGCCGTCCTGCTCACGAGGCGCTGCAGAGCTGGGGACATGGCTGGGCTCAGGCCTTTGGGGGTGAGGCTGGGGTGGAAGGGGTGGGCAAGAGAGGCAGGATTAGGCTGGACCGAGCACCGCTGGTGGCTGGAAGAGGGACAGACCTGTGGTCATTCTAGGCTGAGGAAATCGGGTGGCCTGGCACACAGTAGTGAGGCCAAACTTGAGGCTAAATGGCGGTGGTGCTGCCCTTGGCTGTGGCACTGGGGTGGACCCAACTCTCTCCAGGGGAATGATAACACCCACTTCCACAGGGCTGACAAGAGCTCAGAGTGGGACAATGGGCCTAGGGGGGCCTCTGAGGGATGTGCCAAGGAGGTTGAAGAAAAGACAGAGAAGAGCCCTGCATCCTGGTTCACACAGGGTCATGCTCTGGATCAGAGGAGCTGCCACAGGACCCACCACAGAACCTGTGGGCCTGCCCTGCAGACCATGCATCCACACTGCGGGGGGGTGGGGCCGAGCAGGAGCAGGGAGAGACCCCCCTGCAGGTCAGGTACCCCTCACCTAGCCAGGTTCTCCGTCACTCTCCGCAAGGCCTCCTGCTTCTTGGCCCGGTTCTTGGCGGCAGCCTCGTTGGCCATCTTCAGCCCCAGCCGCTCCCTGCGGCCTGGCTCCAAGATCTACAAGGCAGCAGGCACGTGGGTGGCCTGCCATGGAGCCAGGCAGTCCCTCACTGCTGGGGGTGCCTGTCTCTTCCTGTGGCCCCTACGATCCCAACAACCCACTGCTGCCTCCCCTAAAAGCCCCCCGAAAGCCCCCAACCAGCCCACCTGAGCTGCCCACCCACCCAAGGCCCAGCTCTCCTCGCCTGTCCTCACACTCTCAAAGCCAGCAGGGCCAAGTGACGAATCTCTGACAATCTTCTACAAACAAAGAGGGTCTCATTTTAATCTGCTCCCCTCTGATGACAACAGTGAATAGCCTTCTGCCTTCACTGACCTTCTGTAGTTCTTTTGAGAACTTCCCAACATTTTTTCTATTGAAGCGCTTATCTTGGTGTTTTGTTTTGCTTTTCTAACTTACCGAAGCTTTATCTGTGTGGATTATATTAAGCTATGCCATCTGAATTTCAGCTCTTTGCTCTTACTTTTATCTATGTGTGCGTCTCCTGCTGCTTTCAGGTCCTGTAACCTAGCCGTCACCTCCTCTGTAACGTCTCCCCTTGCTTTTGTGTTTACAAGTCCTTCCAACCTTGAGATCAGTTTAAACAGTGACCATATTTAACCTTTCCAACTTTCTGGAATTCACTTTGCTACACGTATTAAGGACCTGGTTTACTGTATTTCCAAATTCTCTACTACTCAACACAGCCGGAACTGTTGTCTCTAACACACCCTAAATTCTGTCTTGGACTAAGGTTTCTTCTAGAATCTCTCCTTTCCTATTGACTGTAGGTCCCCGGGCCGTGGCACACGCTGACACACCTACAGCCTTCTGGGGGGCTCTGTTACGACAGCACAGGCGCCGCTCCGTTATTCCTGTCTCAAGTTTTTCCTGGTTATCCTCATGTCCCAGACAAATTTTAGAACCAAAGTACCAAAAACCTCCATGTATGTTCTGTCCGGACATGCGTTACCCCTCTGAACTACTCAGGGCAGGGTGAGCTGCGCTTCGCTGGGGCCTGCACCTTCGGGCGCACCCAGCGGCAGTGTTCTCCTTCTCTAAGTCTGCAGTTTCTTTACAAAAGCTAAGTTGTTCCTAGTTCTACATTTCTGATGCTACCGTGAGGGATGTCTCTTTTTCCGTTGCATTTCAAACTGATCGCTGCCAGTGTTTGAGGGACTGGTTCAAGACGACCTCTGACCTAGCCCCCATGCAGACCTTCTACATTAATTCCAGACTTCATGCCCGATTCTTTTGGGTTTCAAAGCAGAGGACGTAATCCCACACCCTCTGTCTCTGCGACAACACCAACCTCTGCCTTCCTCCATCTCCCTGCACTCCACAGTCAGCATAGGCAGAGGCCCAGCACCTCGACAACAGGACTGCACGCTCCCCACTTTCGGGGATTTCTCTTCCTTCCAAATTATGCCAGTCACTCAGTTTCCCCAACAAACTGGTGCCGACCTGAGCACTTTGCCTTCCCAACACCTCTCCAGGGCCCCACCTGCCTGCCCACTTACCCACGCCATCCTGGGCCACCCAGATCTCTGCAAGACGCCTCTCTCTGCAAACACTTAGCCGTTCTGAAGACAGAAACCACGTCCCATGGAACGCTGGGGTTCTGGAACCCTTCCTGGCCCTCAGGCCTGTAGTGCAGTTGGAGCTCCTGGTCCACCTCTGAGACTGCCCTCATCTCTGAGCAGCCCCATCCTCCAGGCCTACAGGCTCAGAGGGGCCACAGCCGCTCCCTGCCTTGGTCCCACACTTGACAGACCCACTCGTCCACCCACACCTGTCCTCACTGCCCTTGTCCCATTCTCAGAACACAGTGCCCGTGCAGGAGTGCAGCCTAGCATGTGGCTCGGCCCACCAGTTGTCAGCGATTTGACTGGTGGCAGCTGGAACACATCTCTGTGCATTGAGCTATGGGTGCTCAGAAGGCCAAGTGTCCACCAGGGGTCCCACCCGTGCTCTCCTCACCACGACCCACCTTGAAGGCTGGCCCCGGCGTCCTGTCTATGTAGGGGGTTTCTGATCCTTCCACTCTCAAGGGTGTGTTCTCGACCTCCCCCCAGGTCATCAGTGGGGACTCGTTCACACCTGCGGATGGAGAGCCCACAGCCACCTCAGGCCAGGGGACCCAGGTGGGGGCACCACCTGGGCCCTCCCTCCCACCACAGCCACTTCTCCTATGCACGTTCCAGCTAGCAAACACCAAGGCCGGCAGCTGGCCCCCTCTCCTTCCCCGGGACTCTAGAACCCTGGCACCTCTGCCCTCTGAGAGGGAAACGCCAAGGCCGCTGTGGGCCCAGAGCAGGCCTAGGCCCCCACAGCCATGGGGCTTATCCTGGGGGAGGGAGGCTCCCCAGAGAAGCCGGACTAGGTCAGCTGGGCCATCCTAGCACAGGGCCAGGGGAGCCTCCTGGAGGTCACTGCTGGCACCGCACCCCAAGGGAGGAGACGCTCTGGGGCTTCCAGAGTTCCCAAACCTCCAAGGACCCTGGACAAACCTGTGGCACCTCCACATGCCCTGGCCTGCATCTCAGCAACCAGCACCGCAGAGTGCAGAGACCAGTGCACGGGGCACTGGGGCACAGGGCATGAGGGCGTAGGGACACCATGTGTACCGTAAGACTGTCCCCAAGGCTCACACACCTCCTGAGCCCCCCACCCTACAGTGCTCTCTGGATCTAGGTTTATAAGCACCACACACTTGCTGACGTGAGACCCAGAACACATTACCCCAGGACTAATGGGGACCCCGAGCCCAGGCCAGTGGCAAGAGGCAAGTGGCCTAAGGGAGGGGCACACAGCCCTAGAGTGCCCCTCAGGCCTATCTTGCCCACCACACATGGGCCAGGCCCCGCTACGAGGCCCCAGGTGCACGCAATTTCCTGCAGACTGTGGCTTGGCTTGCACACACAGTTCTAACATAAGAAGACACCCGCCTGGCAGCCCACTGGATTACACTGCCCTCACTGCACATCAGGCCCCAGGCCCGCCCGCCCCTGCACCACTCCGCATGCTCACCACGGCCAGTCTGTCCAGCAGAGCCCCAACACCCCTGGTTCCCAGCACACCCAGTCTGTCCGGCCGAGCCTGGGGTGAGGCATGGAGACTGCCCAGCTAAATGGGCCAGGCCCCACATGTCTCAGGTCAGGGCTGCCCGAGGGTCCAGCCCTGTCCTTGCACAGATGGGACACTGGGCCCTGAGTCACACCAGGCGTGGGGCTGACCTGGGGCCAACCTCCCCCAGGCAGTCCTGTTGGCGGGCAAGCTTGGCAGCGGGCACATGTCTCACCAGGGGCAGGAGAAGGGGTGGCAACAAATCCAAATCCGCCCACTCGGGGGGACTCCTGGGGGATCAGCTCCTTGCCGTCGGGGCCCACCTTGCCCTGTTTGTGCTGGAACAAGCAGAGAGGCTGGTGTCAGGGGCGCCCAAGCCTGCCGCCCCCAGCTGGCTGATGGGCAGGTGCACAGGAACGTGCTGGGAACACTCTCCAACTAGGGCAGAGGGGGGCCCTGGGGCTGGCAGGCCCCTGGGGAAAGAGAGGAGACCCCTGGCCCCTGCAGAGACCTGGAGGACCTGGCAGAGTGACATTCAAACAAGGGAAGCTCCCCCACCTTCCATGCAGGGCAGCGCCAGGGCCCTTGGCCTGGGGCCAGACCCCACATGGGCTACTTTCATGGACTACTGATTCAGGCCACTGTAGGGGCCACACTAACTATGGTGCCTGTGCTCTGATCTCCTTCCCACAAGGCACTTGTAAGAGCCTCCAAAACAGTCTCCCCACCTCCTGCCTCCTACCCTTTGATTCCATCATCGTTGGAGTCATGGGTGCATAGTACCCATTATCTTGCTCCCAGGCTCAGAAATCTCTGCTCTCTGTCACGCCTAGCACCCCCTCCCCACCCCCAGCCTGCCCTCTGGGCCAGGTTCCCTTCTGGCACTTGCTGGCCACCCAGCCTCCCCGCTGCAGCCTGCACCCCCCACCACTGTCCACTCCCAACCCTGCCTGGTGCGTGGGTGTGGGTCTGGCCAGACTGACTCTCAGAAGCCTCTCTTCTCTCATCCTTGCCCACCAAAGGAGCTGGCACAGATCTGGACCCACAGAATTTGTCTGACCAAGACAGCACCAATGAATGCCCACATGGGTTGAGAAAAGATTCAAGACCTTGCCACAGAGGTGCCCCAAACATTCCCACACTGCTGAGCTCCACCAAGCCCAAGAATGGCCCTAATCTAAGAAGGAGCAGCTTGGGGCCGGCCTCGTGGTGTAGCGGCTAAGTGCACGCACTCCACTGCTGGCGGACCAGGTTTGGATCCCGGGCGCGCACCCTCGCACCGCTTGTCAGGCCGTGCTGTGGCGGCGTCCCACATAAAGTGGAGGAAGATGGGCATGGATGTTAGCCCAGGGCCAGTTTTCCTCAGCAAAAAGAGGATTGGCATGGATGTTAGTTCAGGGCTGATCTTCCTCACAAAAAAAAAAAAAAAAAAGGAAAAAGAAGGGGCAGCCGTGATCAGGGAGGCTGTGCCTACCCACAGCTGGCTCCCTGCTGGCCCCACCACTCACCTGAGCATTGAGGGCAGCGGCCTGCTGCAGCTGGGACCTGCTCAGGGCCTGGCTGAAGGGGTCCCTGAGGAAGCGAGTATTCTTATGCACCACCTGCCGGGGCTTCTTAAACAGCTGCTCTTCATCAGGGACGCCTGGCAGATGGAGCAGAGACGGCAGCAGGTGTAAGAGGGGTAGGCAGGCACCACCTCAGCTCAGGGCCTGAGGGAGAGGCCAAGTCACTCCCCAATGACCAGAAGCACAGAGCCTAGTCCAGCCTCCATATTGCAGAACCTGAACGAAGCTGGGGTGGGCCTCACTCCCTCACTGACTTCACACACGGACCCACATGCCCTGAGACAGACAGGACCCCTCCAAGGCCCGGAAGGCAAGGGGGCAGAGACACACACACCTTGAAGGCCAGGTACAAACGCACAGCCACCCGCTGCCCGCTCACCCTCTGGGTAGTACATGAGGGAGTTCCTAGCCTTGTACTTCCAAGTCTCCACGCCAGCCCGGCTGCTCTCGATGGCTTGGTGCTCCGCCGACGGGAGCGCAAGATTATCTTTCTGCCTCTGCATCACAGGGGTGAAAGTGAGGGTCAGAGAGGCCCCCAGGCACTGTGCCCTGGCCCTGGGACTCTCCTCATCCCAACATAGGGCACCTATGCCCCGGCACCCAGGGACACCTTCTCAAACTCCTCCTCGGCCTGGTAGAGCCAGGCATGGCGTGCCCGGCTCTTCTCCTTGGCCACCTCCATGATCTCCTGGAAGGAGGCGTTGTCCTCGCTTGTATACCGGCTCAGGAAAACATCCAGGCTGGGCAGGGGCTCCTTCTCCTCCTCCTCTCCAGCCTCTCCTGCTCAGGGATGCAGGGGAGGGTGATACAGAACCACAAACAGCATAAACACCACTGTGCAGTCAGTCGGTCCTGGGAACCGCAGCACCCTACAAGCAGGGTTGGAATCTTCCCCCCTGGACCCGCATCTGTCCATGAGAACCCATACTGCCAGACAACCCCCGGCCTGGGAGCTTCTGGAATCATCCCACCCAAACTGCCCAGGGAGCCCTCAGGGGCTCTCCCCATCTGCTGGATGCCAAGCATGCAATCTGTCAGACTGGAAGGGGGGCCATCCCGGTGTTAGAGAAAGAGCAAGTGATCACAGAGGGTCTTTCCAGCTCAAACCATGCCAGTCGTGTAGGCCCTGCCTCCGAAGCCCCGGGCTCCCCTCCACCTTGGGATCTCCTTACCCTGCCTGCTCCCTTCCTGGAACCTGTGCTACAGGCGGGGGCCGTCACCTATGCCTTCCGACCTACTAGTGGGCCCTGATGGCAGGGACCCCCTATGACCTGGTGCTCCAAATGGGGCCTCACAGGCACTGGGTCACAATCCTGGCCGTCCCCTGCACCCCCCACCCCCACCGAGGTGGTGCTGTTGGGCTGCGAGCAGTGGTGTAGACTTCAGTGGGGCCGTTAGGAGGAGAGCCTTTTCTTCCACTTTAGTGACAGTCTTGGCCACCTACCACCCGCTAGACTGTGCACAAAGCACATCGGCTAAAAATTCAAGACCCAGGGGCAGAAAGATGAGGACTCAAGCCCCATTCCGCCACTGACCAGCTCTGAGACCTGCAGAAGTTACTGCCTTCCTGAGCCTCGGTTTCCTCACCTATGACCATGAACGATGACAGTACCTAACACTTAGGTTACTGAAAGGATGCTGAGCTTACTGACAAGTAAAAGGTATTTAAAGAAAAAGAATCTGCAAATTGCCTGTGATTTCTGTGTCATATTGCAATGGAGAATCAGGCTCCAAGGACCTAACTGACGGACTGTGTTAACAGCAGAAAGAGCTGGGTTTTGAAGCAGAAAACATCATGTCTATGTGAGCACACACCACATCTGTGTTTAGTACAGCACACCGCAGACTAGGACTTAGTACAGAATGCATCTCGTCTGTCTGTACAGGCACTGACGTGCCACTACTGATGACTACAATGACTGTCCTCGAGGAGGTCCTGGAGCACGCGGAACACTCGTGCTCAACAGGGCTCGGAATGCTCTTTCCTAGAGAGACTCCCTCGTCAAGTTGGGATGTCGCACACACACCCTAGCAAACGTGTTGAAGCACACAACTCTTTCATTTGTTCTACACACACATATTTGTGGAAAGCCCATAACACACCATGCACTCTTCTAGATGCAGAACACACAGATGGACGCACGACAGAGAACCTGCTCTCATGGAGGAGAGAGACAATAAAAAAACGAAATGCCTTTTTAAGTGCCACGTCCTGTCGTGAGAAAACAAAGCCAGGTGGGAAGGCAGAAAGCACCATGGTGACGTGACTTTACAGTGGGAGCTCAGGAAAGGGTTCTCTGAATGGTCCGCACCTGAGCGGAGGCCTGAAGGAGTGAGCCATGCAGTTATCCAGGGGAAGGGACCCACTTGGAAGAAGCAAGTGCAGAGGTCCTGAGGCATCCTAAGGAGACAGTGAGGAAAGGAGCCCTACCAGGCCCATGGAGCCCAGTGGGCAGGGGGTCGCACACAGTGAGCAGGCTGGTGAGAAAGATGGTGAGATTCCCCTTCCACAGAGGAGGGCCAGAGGCTCGGAGGACTGCCCCACGTTTGGGAGCTGGACCCAGGTCTTCTGCTTCCTAGACCAGTGCTCTTTGACCCCAAGGGCTGCTCTTTAGGCAAGGAGACCCCTCAGGGACAACATGTGACCTGCCTCTGGACTACTCCCTCAGGGCCTCACAGGATGAGATGCCCAGGCAATCCCAACCATTTGTTTGAAAGACAGTGCTCACTCACCATCACCATCCTCCAGGCCTCGGCCCCGGCCCCGGGGCTTGTTGCCCACCACTCCAGTGCCTGGGTGCACCTCAGGAGTTTCAAATGTGGCTGGAGTCACATCTGGCGGAAGAGAGGGGGTGGGGATTAGAATAAGCCTGAGTACAGTGAGAATTCCTCTCTCTGCCACCCTGTAAGAGTCCTCTTACAGGGTGGTGGGGGCTCTCGGGACATCTTGCCCAAGTCAGAGCCAAACTTGATGGCGATCTGGCGCATCCGTTCCAGGTCTCCACTCTCCTCAGCCTCCAGGTACTCCTTCTGTGCCTGCAGCTTCTCCACATCAGGGAAGAAGTCCCTCTGGATGACCATCTGGAGGCCCTATCACGAAAAATCAGAACAAAAGTTAGAGCTGCCATCTGGGTGCCCGCCGCCTCTCACTCCACTGAGGTACATGCTAAGGCCCTTGCTGACCACCACCGTGACCTCTGCCTGGCCAGATGATCCCCAGAGCTTAGGGGCACTTTCTAAAGAAGAGGAACATCTCATGTGGCCTTGCTGAAACGTCTAACATTACTAAACGCTCCTCTGATTTCCATGAAACCCTCTCTCTCCCCTCACTAAGTGGTCATTCTCATTTTCCTTTGCTGGCTCCACCTCCAAACTAGCTGGACCAATGTAGGTGTCGCCACCTTTATTCCACCCATGACCTCCTATTTCCAACCTGAACCTCTTTCCTGGGCGACTTCAGCCAGTCACAATCCCCCATCCCCCCAACCGACTGAGATTCCCAAGTCTGCACCTTCAGCCAGACCTTGCTCCTGAGCTGCACATCTGTGACCCAGCTGTCCACCATTGCCCCTGCTTGTATATCCCAGAGGCTTCCCAAACTTAACCAGTCCAAAACCAAACTGATTTTCTCCAATCCCCCTGCCAGCTCCTCGCCTTCAGCATGTGTGCGGTAGGACTAACACCTACTGGAAAGGTCGTCGGAGGCCCACCTACTCAATGATGCCGCCGCAATCGCAGCCTGTTTCCAGGAACCCCAGCCTTTGCACTTGCTATTACCGCTCTCTAGAAAATCTTCTTTGCCACCATCTTCCCAGTCTGTCCAACTCACGCTCCAACAGAAAGCCTTGTTTCCCTGACCCCCACCACATACAAACAGAGCCGCCCCCTCTCTCCCCTGACAACACTCCTGTGCCTCCCCCATCAAGGGCACCTCCTCCGCACTATGCTTATTTGGCTCTGGGGACTATCTACACCCCAAGGGCAGGGACTCGGGCGGCTCCACCTCCAGGAGGGGACTGGAGTACCCGACCCGAGAAGACTGCGAAGCGGGGGAGGGACCAGAAGTCGCCGGCGTCGGCACCGAGGTCTTACCTCGATGTACTCTTCCTCGTCCAGGACCCGTTGCTTACTCGTCACAGCCCTGGCCTCCCCGGCCGCGCGCTTCCTCCGGGACCCAGACGCTACCGGGAGCAACAGTGCCATAGCTGAAGGACCGGGCGTTTGCATCGCCATCCCAGGATGGCTCAGGCGGCGCAGGCGCGTCACAGGGGCGGGGCCGGGGGCGGGACCGCGCCAGCTGCGCAGGCACTTCCAACAGTCGGCCAATGGGAGAGCGCGTTTCGAAGGCCGGCCTGCGCTCCGTACAACGTCACTACGAGCCCTGATCTTTATGGGAGTTGTAGTCTTCCTCCCGCCCCGCTCCGGTCTTGCCACATACAAACAGAGCCGCCCCCTCTCTCTCCTGACAACACTGCTGTGCCTCCCCAATCACGGGCACCTCCTCCTCACTATCCTTATTTGGCTCTGGGGACTGTCCACACCCCAAGGGCAGAGACTCGGGCTGCTGCACCTCCAGCAGGGGACTGGAGTACCCGACCCGAGAGGACTGTGAGCATCTGGACTGTGAGCACCAGGGGGCGCTGTGGTGGGGGCTAAGGAGCGTGTCATTCAAGCTAATCTGAAAAATTCCAGCAGTGAGGAATTGAAAGGCCTTGGGATTCCAATTTCTGGCAAATAATCACTGCATATGCTTCTATATTATTAACAAAAACATACTCTTTAGGAAATTTGGTTATATACGAGTTTCGAAGGTTTTATTAGAACTTTATGCAAGAAAAGAACCCTAACAATTCTTTCTTGAGAGTTAGCTAACAAAAAAAGAAAAGAAAAATATAATGGTTCAATAAAGAAATATCTGGTTAAAAATTATTAAGTCCCTGAATGCCAGAGTGGGCTTCACAGAAGAGGGCTAATTCTCACTGAAGTCGACCAGAAAATTGCCTAAGCATTTTTCAGGAGTGATCATTTCTTCCCAAAAGGAGGTTGTGAATTACATCAAAGAAGAAAGTGCTGCCCCAGAATGATTTAGTTAACAGGCAGTTGTTCTTTCATTCACTGGGGCTTCCATGGTGATGGTTCCTGCCCTTGTGGAACTGACAGTCAGATGGCTCAGACAGACACTAGTTAGGTCACCCTATAAACAACTAAAACTGCAGCTGACCAGTGCAAGAAAAGAGTTTGCACCTGGGGAATCTTACTGACGCGGCAGTAGGGGTAAGTTTACCCAGGCAGAAAGTGGTTGCAGACCCAAAAGATGAGCAGGCATTGATCAGGTGGAGAGTGAAGAGCATGTGCAATGGCCTAGCGGCGGGAGGGAGGCCTTTGGATACGCACAGAGTGCAAGGAGCAGTAAGGTGTAAGATGATGCCAGAGGGGCAGGCCCAGGCTGCACGGGGCCTCAGGGGTCATGGTGAGTTTTGTCTTTATTCTAGGAGCAATGGGAAGCCCTTGGAGTGCCATAGGCAGGGGAGAGGCAGGTTCAGGTCCTGGCTTTCATGGAGAATGAATTAAAGAGGAACCAGAGTGGGTGCAGCAGTCAAGGTGAGAGATGATGGCAGTTCTCATCAGGTTGTGCAGTTGAAGCTGGGGAGAAAGTAGATTCTGGGATTGCTTTTGGAGGTAAAATCAACTTGCTGTTGGCTTGGGCATGGTGCGTGAGGGAGAGGAGGGCTCTGGGTGATTGCCAGCCCTCTGGCTGATGCTCCTAGTATGCACAGGAGAAGAGCTTGCTGTGGGCTTCCAGGTGGAGGAGTCGAAGGGACAGCTGGACGTTAATATCTAGCTCAGGGGAGAGGCCTGGGCTGGAGATGTAAATGTGGCAGAGACATGGGAATCGGAACCTGAGGGAGAGAGAAACCAGGGAGAGATTTGAGATGAGAGGGACTCAGCCTCAAGGACACCTATGTTAATGGCCACCTGTTGGGTTGAGCCTGCCAAGGAGCAGCTAGAAAGGAAGGAGAGAATCAGGAGCGCAGCATAGCCACGGGTCCCTCAAAGGTGGAGCTCTGCTCATGGCTCTCCCACACAATAACAAATAGCCACTCAGCCAAGGAAGGTGAGGTCCTGGAACCCAGCGAGATGAGGGCATCCCAGTCTGCAGGGGAGCTCTGCAAGCCGACTCTGCAGTCTCCAAGGATAAGGCCAGGATGCAGGGAGAAGACCCTTGTGACAGCCAGAAGCGTGCATCCTGGGGGTGAGGGGAGGGCTGCTGTCCTAGGGGCACCGAGCAGTGTTAGGGCAGCCCTGGCTGGGACACCAGGCCTGCTCAGTGCTATCTAAGCTGGCCAGCCTTGGAGAGTCCTGGGCATTGCAGCCCTGGCTTCTGCACCTTTTCTGGACGGACCGTGTCTCCTGCCAGATACCCCCCATTCCCTCCAGGACCCGGGAGGAGGCAGAACGAGGTGCCCAAGCCAGATGAGGTGAGTGTTAGGTGCCTTGGGCCCACTGTACACCTACTTGGGGAATTGAAGCCTTGTTTTCACACTGTCCTTCACCCTGGGGCCAGGATGATGGAGGGGAGAGCAGACATTTTCCAAGCCAAGGCAGTGTGTGGGGGTGTCTCCCCAGTCAAACCTCCTCTTGACCCACAGGATGGCGGAGATTGACTACTGTGAGATAGGCAGACGCCACAGCACGGAAATCCCCTGGAGGGGGACGCCAGGGCCCCAGCCATGAAGCAGGTCAGCAGCACAGGGAGGCTAGTGCAGGCCCCAGGGTGCCAGCTACGCCCCGTGAGGCAGTCTGCTTTGCTGGGGGGACCCTGGCACAGGGACTGAGGACTCACTGGGCTGTCCTCCCCAAGACAAGGCAGCCCCACACTCCCTGAAAAGGAGAGGAGGGGCAGGTCCTGGCGGGTGTGGCAGTGCAGCCATGGCGCGCTTCCAACTCTGCACTGCTTTCCTGATGTTTGTACTGCTTGTTTATTTCTCCACATTGGCACAAGGCTCACAGGATTAAGGAGCCGGAGGGGGCTTCTGGAGATGACCTCAGCCAACCTTCTTATTCTACAGGTCTGGACACCTGGGCTCAGTTCAGGACCTGCAAGGTGGCAGCAATCGGAGGATGCAGACACCACCCACCCTGCCTCGGGAGGGTTGTAGGCCAGGCCAAGGGGGCTATATCCATGCTGAGGAAAGGACAGAAGCCAGCATGCCCCAGGAGGAGGAGGGGGATTCTGGGTCCCCTGTGTTGATAAGGGGTGGTTCCTGTCCTGGGGCGGGGTTAGTGCCTCCTGGGATGTGGTGGGGGGTTGAGAAAGCTGACCTGCTCTGTGCCCTGCCCCACCTCTAAGCCCCAAGGAATCTCCTGGGTCCTCCTGCCTGCTTGCCATTTGGGAGGAGAGTGCCTGAAGATGCTTGAAGCTCCCTCCTTTAATGGAGCAGGTGGCTCACGGCCACACACACATCTGTTCTCCTGCAGAGGGGCTCCTGCGTTGAGCAGTAGCTCCAAGATACAGGAAGCTGTGCAGACGGGAAGAGGCTGGTGTCCTCTCTCAGCTCCTTTTCAAGTTGGTCTGTCCACTCTCTGAGCCAGCGCCAAAGGACGCGGCCACGCTGAGGAGTAGCTTCCAGAGCCATCAGCACCTCTCCTTGGGGGGCTTCTTGGCTCCCGGCAGGAACCTTGCAGACGCTGACACGCGCTTCTGGTGTCGCCACTTGGCCCGGCGGTTCTTGAACCAGACCTGAGGAGGAGGGACTGCTCAGGCCCAGCCCCATGACCCGCGTCCCACCAGGCTCCCATAGGTGGACGGTTCAGAGGGCTTCCCGACGGGGCGTGGGCGGATGAGGGCTGCGGAGCTGGCACCAGGCAGCGGCCGAGCGCCACCGTCTCTTATCCGCAGCAAATAGAGACGGTGGCTTGGGCCGCGGAACAGGAACCCCTTTCCCAAACGGACCAGCCACCGTTTGCATCCGTCCCCACCCCCCAACCTCCGCCAGGTGGCTCCCAGGGCGCCCCTTCTGCAGCGTTGTGCTCTTCCGAGCTTCCCAAAGTCTGGAACATGAACGCGCACCTCATTTACCATCAAGGCGGGAAAAAGTCTAAAACAAAGGAAAAGAAAACTAGCCTTACCTCCCCTCCAGTTCCAGCGACACTTTCCCTCACGTGCCTGTCCCTGCCTGCCCCTCGGCCCGGAACTTGCCCTGTGCGCCCTCTCTCCGCCGCGCCGGGACCCCCGCGCCAGGGCCGTCTTTTCAAGAGGAGGAATGCAGCGAGGGCGCCCGAACCCACTCGCCGTCCAGCCGGCGGGCGCTCACCTCCACGCGCTCCTCGCGCAGGCGGATGCGGCCGGCCAGGCGCTCGCGCGTGCCCACGTCGGGGTACTGGTTCTGCACGAAGAGCGCCTCCAGTGCCTGCAGCTGCTCCTCGCTGAAGATGGTGCGGTGGCGCCGCGTGCGCCGCTGCGGGCCCGGGCCGCCCGCGCCGGGCA